TCAGATATTGATCAGCTGGTAAATTGGGCAGAGCAATGGCAGAATGAATTTAATCCAGATAAGTGTGAGGTGGTGCATTTTGGGAAGTTTAATAAGGGAAAGATTTACACAATGAATGGTATGTCCCTAGGGAGTACTGAGGAACAAAGGGACCTTGGTGTACAAGTCCATAGATCCCTGAAGGTGTCGGCACATGTAGGCAGGGTGGTGAAGAAGGCACACAGGACGCTTGTCTTCATTAACCAGGCCACAGAATACCAGAATGAGGAAGTCTGGTTACAACTTCATAAAATATTGATTAGGCCACAGATAGAATAACGCAGTTCTGGTCACCACACTTTCGGAGGGAGCAGAGGAGATTCACCAGGAGGTTGTCTGGAATGGAAAGTCTCAGTAATGAGGAGAGACTGGATAGGCTGGGTTTGATTTTCCTGGACCAGAGGAGGCTGAGGGGGGACCTAACTGAGGTATACAAAATTATGGGAGGCATAGACAGGGTAGGTCATGAAAATCTCTTCCCCATGACAGATGTGTCTAAGACTAGAGGGCATAAATTTAAGGTGAGGAGCAAATGGTTTAGAGGAGACATGAGAAAAGATTTTTCACCCGAGAAATATGGAAGGTGCTGCCTGAGAAGGTGGTGGAGGCAGGTACTCTCACAACATTTAGGAAGCATCTGGATGAGCACTTACAATGCCAGGGCATAGTAGGCTATGGACCAAGTGCAGGTAACTGGGATTAGTGTAATTTGGTATTTGTTGATCATTATAGACATGGTGGGCTGAAGGGCCTGTTTCTATGCTGCATGGCTCTATGATACATTTCCTATATTACAGCAGTGACTACCCTTCAAAAAATTGTTGGTTGGAAATCACTTTGAGAAATTCAACATCCTGAGCTAAAGAAACAAAAGGCGAAGTCACTATCGTCCTACCCTGTCGTTAGGGAGAGAAATGACTGGTGGTAGTTTAAGCTGAGGGTCACCATGCCTCAGGTGAGGGAGAGGTTGAGATGGTAGCCATGGCTGGTGCAGGAATTGAACCCTTGCTGTTGGTGTCACTTTGCATTGCAAACCAGCCAACTGAGCAACCAACCACCTTGTGTTCCTGAAAGGAGCTATTGAAATGCAAATCTTTGTTTAAAAATGATGAATCAGGTTGATGTCCAAAAATGGATTTTTCACTTGAGGAGACATCAAACACCAATAATTCTGATAAGGAATTTAAGAGAAACCTCTTCACCCGTAGAATAGTGAGGATATGGAACTCACTCTCATGTAGAATACTTGAGGCGTTGCTGCATTTGAAGGGAACCTTCGATAGTGCGGGTATATTGATTAGAGGATGAAGAATGACAGGAACAATGTCAGCAAAACACTGACATTAACCAAAAGGGGAAGGAGGGAAGAAAATGTTGACATTGAAAATCAGCTGCAATTTCATCAAACACTTCAAAAGATGAAATGTCCAGCTATTTCTTCTGATCTTTTGGATGGAATAAGTGGAAGACAATGTATAGCAACATTTCTGACCTAGGAATGTGGCAGTGTTCCAATGGAGCCTAAATAGAACTGGAGAAACAATACCTCATTTTCCAATTGGTCACTGTACAGCCTCAGGACTCAATCATGAGTTCAACAACTTCAGAATATGCAGTGTCCTCCAATCTGATTACAACTTTCACCCACCCACATCCCTCCAACCCCTCCTCCCCACCTTGTGTTGATGACATGGGTTTTCTCTCAGTAGAACTGACCTATTTTTTATTCTTCATACCTATCATTTGCACCTTGCTTGCATCTATTACCTTTAGTATTCTCTTTGTCCTTTGCTCTGGACACTGTCATCTGTTCCAGTGGCTCTTCCTCCCCCGCTGTCAACAACATAAAAGCCATTTTCCAGTCCCTTTCAATTCTGAAGAAGACATATTGGACTTGAAATATTAACTCTGGTGTCTTTCACTTTCCACTGATGCTGTCAGATCTGTTAAGTTGCTCCGGCACATTTCTGTGTTAATTTCAGATCCTCAGCATCTGCAATTTTTGGTTTTTACTTACATGACAACATCTGGCAGCTCTTGTTCAACTATCTCACTGTTAAGTTCCAGGGGTTGGTAATAAAACGACCTGATCCATTTCCTTGTGCTAATCCAATATGCTTTTCCTTCCCTCGTTTGGTTTGGGATATTCCTTGGATAAGAGAGGAGGCCTTGACTAGCTCCTCATGGAAGCAGTGATGCATCAAATTCTTAGTGTTGTGCTTTAGGCTGGGAAGTGGTTGGCTGTGATTCAGTGACAGCTGTCTTACTTTTGAATGAAGGCAGCAGAGGAAGTAGTGACCTTGATTTTTTTTAAGGCAGTTATCGAGGTAGGTGTTAATGTGAAGTAATCAGACCAGCCCAATAGAATCACTGAATCATACAATTTTATGGTACAGAAGGAGGCCATTCGACCCATCATATCTGTACCAGTTCCCAAAAGAGCTACCCAGCTAGTCCCAATCTCCAATCCTATCTCCATAGCCCTCTAAACTCATCACTTTCAAATATATATACAGCTCTCTTTTGAAACCTTCTATGAATCCACCTCCACCACTCTCCCAGGCAGTACATTCCACATCCTAATAGCTCTCTGAGTAAAGAAGTTTCTCCTCATCTCTTGCTGACAGTCTTGACACCCCCAGTTACTGACATGCCAACCAGTGGAAACAGAATATCCTTCTTTACCCTATCAAAATTGTTCATAATTTTGAACACCTCAATAACGTCACCATTTAATCTTCTCCGCTCCAAGGAGAATAAGCCCAATCTTTCCAAGTATCTAACGTCCCTTGTCTTATTGAATGATGGAGCAGGTTGAGGGGGCTGAATGGCCTACTCTTTTTTTGTTAATTCATTCACAGGATAAGGGCATTGCTGGCTAGGCAGCGTTTATTGCCCATCCCTAATTGCCCAGAGGACAGTTCAGACTCAGCCACATTGCTGTGGGTCTGGAGTCACATGTAGGCCAGACCAGGTAAAGATGGCAGTTTCCTTCCCTAAAGGACATTAGTGACCAGATAGGTTTTTCCAAATGATCAACAATGGATTCACAGTCATCATTAGATTCTTAATACCAAATATTTATTGAATTCAAATTCCACCATCTGCTGTGGAGGCATTCAAACCCAGGTCCCCAGAACATTATCTGGGTCTCTGCATTAACAGTCCAGCGATAATACCACTAGGCCATCACCTCCAACTCCTAATTCAGATGGTTGTAGATAAGGTTTCCAGAGACTCAAGTACAAGATCTAGATGGAGAGTTTGATGTTAGTACTCAGAGAGAGAGTCCAGCTTTTTGGTGATATTTTTGACTAAGGTCACTGCTCAGGTGGATGTAAATGATTCTTTGAAGAAGAACGGGGAAATTCTCTCCAGTGTCCTGCACCAATATATATCCCTCAACTAATACAGGGAACTACCTTAACAAATAAGAAGTCTTGCGATGAGCACTTGAAACACCAAAGCACACAAGGCTTTAGGCCAAGTACCAGGAAATGGGATTAGAATAGATAGGAGCTTGATGACCAGCATGACCACGATGACTCTATCACTAAAACAGACAATCTGGGCCAGCACAATGATAAACAGCAAGCAGAGTTTTAAATGTGTATATTTTGGCAGGATGTACCCCAGCCTGAGCTTTCCTGACGAGACTGTTGATATAACATGACCCAAGCCAAAGCCAGTAACAGACTGCTAACTGGAGATGGTGAAAGATATTTTGCCCTGGTTCAGTGGCAGCAATACCTTTTCCTCTACGTAAGGTTACAGTGTCCAACTCCCATTCTGGGAATGACTGTATGATCTCATTGACACTTCAGCATCCCAATGTTGGGTATTGTGCATTTAATGAGATATTAAACAGAGGTCTCTCCTGTCCCCTGATGATGTAAAGGGCCCCATTGCACATTTACCTAACCACCAGCATCACTAGCACCACTTTAGATAATTGGCAAAGGAAACAGCAGTTTCTTTCTGTCAATAGGGTAAGGAACAGGGTGAAGAAGTGAAACTAATACAACGTAAGCAGTTAGCACAGGATTGATTGGTTATCCTGTGCTTCCTGATTTATTTCGTCAGTCATATATGTCATTGCTGATTGTGGGATCTTACTGTGTGTGCATCTCTGGTTGCCAGCTTTCCCCACATTTGAATGATGGTTACATTTCAATAATACTTTGCTGGTTGCAAAGCACTTTCGTTTGGAAGCTGCAAAAGGTGCTATGTGAATGCAGTTTCTCCTTTGAACTCTCAAGACCAAAGAGATGTGTTTCAATCCTGTATGTTCCAGTGTGAAAATTGTAGCTTGTCCCAATGGATCGGTAGGTGAATGTATCACCAGATATGGAATTCATCCCACCCCAGAGGGGATCTGAACCCAAGTTACATTGGGTCCAATAATGGGTGAGGTGAAGGTCCTCACAACTGGCCTGTCTGCCTCAGGAGGAGGGAGTAGGAATTAACTAGGAAGAGCAGTCAATTACTGAAATCTATCCATTATTGCAACTGGGCTTTCTGCTGCCAGCGCTGCACACTCTTGTTTACAAATTATCCTTGGAGGCACAGCACATGTGGGTAGGGGGGGGGAAGAGTGTTATGCAAGGCCATTGACAAACAAAATGAGTGGGCAAAATTGTGGCAGATGCAGTTTAATGTCAGGAAATGTGAGTTCATCCAGCTTGGGTCAGAAAATGACCAAAGTATTCTTTTATGGTGAAAGACTGGGAACGGTGAAGGGACCTAGGTATTCGTGTGCAGAAATCACTAACGGACCTGCCTGAAAACAATAGTTAAGAAAGGTAATAGAACGATACAGAGATTTAGCAGGTCTGACAGCATCTGTGGAAAGAGAAACAGAGTTTATGTTTCAAGGAGCACATGACATTTCTTCAGAACAGACCTGCTGCATTTGTATACCAATATTTGTTTTGATTTCAGACTGCCAACATCCTCAGTACTTTGTTTTTAATTGAATAGTCTTTATTTCAAAAATGCTTCATTCATACAGAGCCTTAGTCAGACCCTATTTGGAGAACCACTTTTCAATTTCTGCATAAGAATGATACCTTGTGAGTAGGTTCAGTGCAATAAGAGCTGATTAATGCTGAGGTGTCAGTTGTATGTACAGCACTGGTATCCCCATGTGTTTGGGTGATTCAGCTGCTTGTGGTGGGGGGATCCAAAACAAGGGGCAAAACCTCGATATCAGAGCCAGGCCATAAAAAACTGAAAACAGCAATCAATCTTCTAAAGCAAATGGAAAATTGGACCCATCTCCAAAGACTAAGTGCTGGGTGTCAGCTGGAACTTTCAAGATTGCGACAGAGAGGTTTTGTTCGATAAGAACATCAAGGGATATGGAATAAAAGTAGGAAAACAGGACTGAAGCATAGATCAGCCAGGATCTGATAGAATAGAAGAGTAGGGGCTGATTGGCCTCCTCCTATTCCACAGTGAATTTCTTTGTGAAGTTGAACAACAAGGATCAGGCAGATCCCAGGATTGATTCCTGGTGTGAGTTATCTGAACAAAACCAAGGATGCAGTTGAACAGCTACAACTAGGTGATCCAGTGCAGCTCTGTGTCTTCCGAATGTGAGTTGACAGCAGGAGAGGACAGTGTTGGATTGTTGTAGCTCCTGTAGTGACGAACGGCTCTCCATCACTCGCTGTCTACACCGATGCAGAATGACGTGAACCTGGGGTGGGACAGGAGCCAGTGTCTGTGGATCTGGAGCCCGACAAGATTCAGTGGATATAGGAATAGGTGACACTTCTCTTGTACGGTGACTGATTCATTATCGAAAAAGGAGAAAGGAAGATTGTTCACTTTGTGTTGATAGCATAGAGTCATTGAGGGTTATTCCTGATATGAACAACCTTGATTTAATTTCCAATATCATTAATTTCCCTGAGTATTGCATGATGAGCCTAAACGTCACAATGTCCCAATTCTGAAGGATGTTGGAGTACAAACTAAGTCATATACACACACAAACATCGACTTACATGAGGTTTAGCTGTAAGCATTTCCGATGTGATTACTCATGCAATGTAGTAGATTTGTTCCTTTCTTCAATTGTTTATATGGATGGTAGAGAGCCAGGAGTCAGTTCTACATTTTTTCCTGATTTATCTTTCCATTAAGTTGCTGAAATTAAAGAGGGGAATGATGTAAAATCAGTTGCTGACTTGCAGTTGCCTATTTTACACAATCCAGGAAGGGGGTGGGTGCAGTTTGACTATTATTTTGCTCTTTAATAAGTATGTCCAGCCAGTTTTTGGTACTAGTTCACCCAGATCATGATCCTCCAAATGTCATGCAGTGAAATATAAAGTGACAGCACCGAAGATGTCACACCCACATCATGTCCATCTTCAATGTGTGGGTCTCAGACACCATGCGGCTTCTGGATGCTGAGCCTAGTAGCAAAAACATATCCATTACTTCACAGCATTAACCAGTAACGCACTGTATTCTCAAATATACAGGAGTATTACACCCAGTAACATGTGGTATAGAAAGTACACAGTGTCATACCAACTACCAACCTCCCAATGACAATTAGAGATGGGAAATGAATGTTGGCCTAGCCAGTAACGCCTACCACGTCCCATGAATGAATAAACAAAATTAGCTGGGTCAAGCATTTATTGCCCGTCCCTAGTTGCCCCTTGAGAAGGTGGTGATGAGCTGTGTTCTTGAACTGCTGCAGTCCATGTGTTGTAGGTGGACCCACGATGCTGTTAGGGAGGGAATTCTAGGATTTTGATGCAGCGAACGTGAAGGAATAGTGATATATCCAAGTCGGGATGGTGAGTGGCTTGGGGATGGGTGGATGGGGGGGATCTTGTAGCTGGTGATGTATCTATATGCTGGATGTCCATGATCTTCTAGGTGGTAGAGGTCACAGGTTTGGAAGATGCTGTGTGACAGATCCTTGGAGAGATGTTGCACTACATCTTATAGATGGTACACACTGCTGCCACTCTGTGGTGGGGGGATGGAAGGAGTGAATGTTGAATATTGCGCATGTGGTACCAATTGAGCAGGCTGCTTGGTCCTGGATGGAGACAAGCATCTTGAGTGTTGTTGGAGTTTCACTCATACAGGCAAGTGGGGAGTATTCCACCACACTTCTGAGTTGTGACTTGTAGATGATGGACAGAATCTGAGGAGTCAGGACATTCACTACAGAATTCCCAGCCCCTGATCTGCTCTTGTAGCCACTGTACTTACACAGCTAGTCCAGTTTATTGTCTGGTCTACAGTAATCCTCACGATATTGATAGTGGGAAATTTAGCAATGGTAATGCCATTGAATATGAAGGAGAGGTGTTATACCCAGTAACATATGGTGTTATATATAACATACACAATGATCTATTTAGTAACACAGTGATGTTATATAATACAAACAGTAGCACTGTAGCCATCAATTTATGTCACTCCTTTAGGTAGAAGAATGTCCCAGACTGTTTTATAGGTTTTTAAGAATTCTTTTATGGAATGTATGCATCCAACAGGCAAGAGTTTATTGTTACTGAACTGAGTGGTTGCTATGCAATGGTCAGTTAAGAGTAAACCCCATTGCTGTGAGTTTGGCGAAACATGCAGGCCAGACCAGGTAAGGATGGCAGATTTCCCTCCCTAATGGGCATCAGTGAACCAGATGGGTTTTTAAACAAAAAGTAATAGTTGCTTTGGTTACCAATACCGAGGCTAGCTGTGTATCTCTGCCTTAGTCACTAAATTCAAATCCCACCGGATGCTATGGGATTTGAACCCACAGCCCAGAGAATTAGACTGGGCATCTGGTTAAACTAATCCAGTGACATTACTGCTGCATCATCATCTCCCATATACACAAAGAGAAAATTACTGACATTGAACCAAAACAATGAGTGACCAAAAGATTGGTCAACATGAGTAATTTTAAGGAGGGTGGTTAAACAGGAGGGTTGGGGGGAATTCCAAAGAAAGGTGCAATGGGTGGCTGAAGGGAGGGTCATCAATGTGAGACAAGAGAGGTTGGGATGCGTAATGGCTAAGAATCAGAGGAACAGACACAGGGGAGAGCTTGTGGGACTGGTGAACATTAAAGACAGGAAGTGGCAAGGTAAGAAAGGCATTAAACAGAAGGGTGAGAGTATTCAATCCAAGGCATTGGAGACTGCTTGATAGCCTTCAAAAGGGAAGTATTTTATTGAATATCTATCCTTACAGAGCTACAGGATAAGGGAAAAGGCACAGAACTGATGTTGCAGATTAAATAGCTTCTTCCGTGTTGTGTTATTCAACCATTTTATTCCACAGGGTAGATTCAAGGCTAACCAATCAATTTGTCTATTGCTGGCTGAGAAGGACTTAGTGCAGGATAGTAATCAGGCTGCATGGTTTTGAATGTACTCCAGTTTACAGATTGTGGAAGATGAGATCCAACACTTTGGATGGGTTGAGTCTGGAGGTAACAACAGTATAGATATGAAGCTCTGCAGCAGTTGAGAGGAGGCAGGGGTGGAGTCAAGTAATTATAAAGAGGTAGAAATAGACAGAACCTCAGCTCAAGATCACCGAGGACACTGAGGCTGGAAAGAACTAGTTCAAACTGAGACAGTGGTCAGGGTTGGGGTGAGAGTTTGAGAGTGAAGCTGAAAACCAAAGCTTTAATCTTCTTCCCAATCTTTACTATATTGAAGGATGATCATGTTTACCTTTCGATGATCAAATTGTTCTGCTCCAGTTCCCACAATACACCTTCCATTTCCTGTTTGAGCTGCTTCATCCTGTTAACACACAGATAAGTTCAAAGTGTCTCATCTTTGCTGCCCAAAAATTGCATCTTCAATGAGTTGGGCCAAAAATGACTGAGCCTTCTGTACAATCCCCATTGAAAGCTCAATGATAATATTTTGAGATGATATAAAATAAAACTATGTTCCATTTAAGTAATGATCTGCATTACATCACCTTGCAGCAAGTGTTTTTTTTTAAAATTAGTTCACGGGACATGGGCATCACAGACAGGGCCAGCATTTATTGCCCACATTTAATTGTCCAGAGGGCAGTTAAGAGTCAGCCACATTGCTGTGGGTCTGGAGTCATGTATAGGCCAGACCAGGTAATGATGGCAGATTTGCTTCCCTAAAGGACATTATTGATCCAGATGGATTTTGCAAAAGTTGTCAATGGTCACCGTTAGACTAGCTTTCTAATGCCAGATTGTTTTTTATTGAAATGAAATGTCACTAGTTACCATTCAAACCCATGTCCCAGAACATTAAGCCTGGACCTCTGGATTACAGATCCAGTGACAATGCCACTAAGTCCAAAACAACAAGGTGCAGGGCTGGATGAACACAGCAGGCCAAGCAGCATCA